GTTCTTTCCTTGTATGTTTTCTTGTGTTTTGCTTTCCTTTTTTTTTTTTTGAGACAGAGCCTCAAGCTGTCACCCTGGGTAGAGTGCTGTGGATTCATAGTTCACAGCAACCTCCAACTCCTGGGCTCAAGCACTTCTCCTGCCTCCACCTCCCAAGTAGCTGGGACTACAGGTGCCCACCACAATGCCCGACTATTTTTTGGTTGCAGCCGTTATTGTTGTTTGGTGGGCATAGGCTGGATTCGAACCCGCCAGCTCAGGTGTATGTGACTGGCGCCTTAGCCGCTTGAGCCACAGGCGCCGAGCCTGGATAAGTTCTAAGTACAAATTCCTCACTCTGCAATTCCAGGTACTGCTGGATTTGATTTTGCCTCAATGCTCCAATCTCTGTCCTACTGACCTTCCTGAGAAGGACTGAGAGGGGAGACAACACCAGTGTCCCCTGAAAAACAAGGCAGCGGGAAACACCTCTCCCCTAGGAGGCCTTCCATCCTCCTCTCAGCCAATCCCTGCCTGTCAGTTCAAAACCCTCCTCTTGCATGAGTCTTTTTACATTCCAGTTTGCTGGACTGGAGTTGCTGGACTTTGACCTAGCTGCTACTTCATCTGCAGCACAGGCGGGGTCGCCAACTCATCTAGACATCGTGTGGTGCTGTCTCCCAGCTGCTTCTGACAAGCAGCCACCCGCACATCAGCAACTCAGAGGGACTCTCCACAAACCCAATGTGCATCTTCTATTTAGAAGTCAGGGAGTAGCTTCGGCTGCAGGGAGAGTTAGCTCAGTAAGAAGGCAGTACTTAAAGAAAGCCTCTCTAGTCCCTTCATCTTATTTCAACTTTTCCTTTTCCTTCATCTTTAAATCTTTGTTTTTCTGAAAACTTTTTAAAAACAGACAAAACCAACCTTTTTGGAATGGAAAAATTCCATTCAAAATAAATAGGTCAAGCAGCTTATCACAAGTTTCTGCTATCTCACCATTTTAAAAAATGCAATTGCTTGTTAAAAAGCATGACCTCTGGCAATAAAATTGACTAAAAATGTGCTAAGGGGGAAGGTGCCTTTGACATATAGTCTCAGGATGAAAAAAGTACGAGAAAAAAGAAAAAGAAAAGAGTTTTCACTGGGTGGGTCGGGAGCCAGAAAGCAGAATTTAATTAACCACTAGGTAGCAAATTGCTCTGCGAACAACACAAAACAAAATAAACCCTACAATGGTGACCCTGGGTAGACAAAGCTTTCACAAGGATGTAGGCCTTAGTTAC